GGATATCTCAGTGTTGATTAATGACAGTGAGCTGGAGGGTAAATAAACTGCTGGAAGAACATTACAGCAGCTGTGAGGAATTCTTCATTTCTGGAAATCTTTAAAAGAAGGCTGGTTTTCTTTCTCAAAAGTTTGGTGCAGTTGACACTGAATTAGAATCAAGACTGCCACAGGTTTTCCCAACAGATATGTAGGTGTCTTGATAATGAATTGAAGCCCTTGCTCAGGTAATTCCCTCCTTCTGCCTTTTGGGAACCATCCACAGGCTATGCAGTGGCTGCAGAACACCAGCTGCAAATCACTACTCTAGACAAGTGTCCCTCTGGCTGTAAAATACATGGATTTGCTAATAGCTGGAAGCCCAGCTCCTCCATCCCATTGTGACTGCCAGATTTTCCTCCTCACTGCGTTCCCTCTCCTCTTTCTCCCTTCAGTGCTCCCACTTGACCCCTCTTTGCCAACTAACACCCTTTCTCAGACACCTGAACGAACAACTCCTGGCCAGACCTCAAGCCAGCTCCTCATCAACGCTTGCTCATCATTCTGTGGCCAGCAGTTTGGTGGATGCATTGCTCCTGCTGTAGACCCAGATGTCTCGGACTCATACAACATAAGTCTCAGTCAGATCCTTACCCATCACCACCTCCTCTCTCTATGGGCCTTACCCATGTCCTGGGAATCCCACAGCAATGTCTATGGCCCATCTCCTGTATGGCTGCATAGTGCCGTAAGCGCCTCCATCTGTTATCCCTCTACCCAAGTGACTCACAAATCAGCTGTTCCACCCACAGATTTTGATTTTCAAACTGGAGGGAACACAGCATTTGGTAGAAAAGAAAGGCTCTTTCTGAGAAATAGGAGGGGCTGCTAGAACAGACTTTGGCGGGTAAAAGGATGGAGTGCAGACGTCTTCCTCCTTGCAAGGCTTTGAGAAGAAATAAGCAAAGTATGTTCTATTTTCCCAAGATAAGATGTTTCTATCAATACAAACAATTCTAGCTGAGCTTGCCATATCAGTAGCACCTGGATTTATGGCTGCCAGAAAAAACAGACCTTTGAAGAACTGCAGATTGAAAGAGGAGGATATATCCTCAGGGGGGCAGGCTCTGTGCCTCTGCAGAGGATATTATCTGAAGATCAACATGTAAATTCCTGTTCTGCCCCAGTCCTATCTCTCTGGGTCATTTACTTCATACCTACTATTAAATCTGAGCTTCGCATTGAAGTGTGACAGAACAACATAGTAATAAATACACTTTCCAGTGACTGATTTTGAGGGAAACACAGCTTTTCATGTCACCATTTTCCAGTTAAAATATAAACCAGAGAATACTTTGTCCCAAGGGGGGATACAATGAAGAAAACGTCTTGTTGTCAAATATTGGGGTGCCTTCCAATATTAGCATAATGTCTTCTGCAAAATTTCAAGGAGACGAGCAGAGCAGTTCATTCAGCACAGGCAAAAGGCCTGTGTCACCCTTCTGAGTCAGCAATCACACCAACCCAATGTAGCTGTCCCCAAACATCACTCTAGATGGCATGGGCAAAAAAAGGCATCCTCTTTAGATTAAAGCTTTTCTAAGTGGCTGCAGAAAGCAGGTGGAAGAATCCCATGTGACACCAAGGACTTCCAGCACATGCAATGGATGGAAGATGATATCAGACCTGAGCATGAGAAGACAGACTGGCTGGGGTTTCCACCTAAGGGATTACAGGGGCAGAAGCTGGTTTCTAAAGGGACTTTAATGATAAAAGTTTTGAATTAACATTTTTCTTTCTAAACAGCAGGCGTGAAAGTCAAACTACCAAATTATTTTCCTTTTTTGCTGTTTTCCAATTTCCTCCATGTCCATTTCTAAGTCTTTTGGCTCAAACACACCAGAACAAGACACAGCACCATCGTTTTCTCTGCTCACAGTAACTCTTCCCTGTTTTAAGAACCGATCAGGTTTGGAAGCAGTGGCTGCGCTCAGCACCACCAGTCTGCCAAAAGCAGGCAGGGATGTGGGGAGCAGAGGGGAGCTCTCCTCCTAAAGAACACCCCAGGAAACTGGATTTCTCTGATCAAATCTTTACACCCATTAAGGTGACCAGCACGTTACTCTGACACTGTACATACACCTGGAGGTCTCTCTGCTGCAGTGATTTACAAAACACTAGGCAAAGCCACCATCCCTTTAGGACCCATTAACACTAGAAGTTGGTGACATTTACCCCAAATTACCCCAGAAGGCAGAGGAGGAATGGGGCAGGGACTCCTCCTCCCTGCTCTAAGTAATAAATCACAGTATCTTCTATCATTAAATCTATCCCCGGCCATGCAGGTTTTTCATTCCCTTTCTCCCCATTCACACTTCACTTGCTGTCCCATGATGTCCATAGGAACAGCAGTGACAGCTGCAGTACCAATGTCTTCTCGCTGTCCCAAGCATGCTTCACACATATTCCCACTGCAGCAGCTAGGTGGCAAAAGTTTAGCAGAGCCTAGGAAACTTATTGTAATCCTTTTATAAAGACACAGCCCGCGGATCCAAATACTTCTTATTCTAAAATAATACATGGAAAGAAAACTCCCTTTTCACGGTGAGCACACCCAGCTCCCCCAAAATCACCCCACCACAGTGTACTCACATCGTATTTCTCTGTCATTTTCAGATGTAGAGCACGCTTCCAGAGATTCCTTGCACAGCCCAAGTCTGGCAGCAAAACTAAGACACATAAGGCTGCCGTGAGGATCTTTGTACAGAAACGCATCTCTGACAGCAGCCTGGAATCCATTTTCCCAAGGAGAGATCAAGTAAGCAGCCTGGCTTTTGGGATCCAGGCGATCAGAGCCTTCGTGAGGATAGGGAGGGATACAGGGAGGGAGGGAGAGTGAGGGCTGACCGCTGCTGAGAGCTGCTTTTCCCTGCGCAGCTTCTGGGAAGGGAAAGGGGAAGGGAAAAAAAAACCACCCAAGCCCACAAGCCAGGAGCTGCTGTTGAACTTCTTTAGTCCAAGTTAGCTCAGGTTCTCGGCTCGCATGTCCGCACCAAGCACGTGCCCTCCTACAGTGATAGATGGGAAGGTTATTTGTGAAGATTATTTTTAGACCTTTGTTCCCAACATCTGGCATCCTCAGAGAGCCCCATTCAGAGCCAGGGCGTGGGATCAGATGACAGCTGCCGCAGGGGGAAATAAAGGTCTTGGAGGGGTGGGCTCGGCAGCTTTGAGCAAACAGCTCACCCAAACTTACCGAGCCTCCCTGCTTTCCCTTTGTGTGCTTCCCACTGTGCCCCGAGCTGTGCTTTGGGATTGTGCTTTGACAAAGTGATAATTTCATGTAAAGATTGCTTGAAGGAAGTGATTTAAAGACATGATAAAAGAGCAGGGGCTTTAATTAAACCAAACTGGCGTTAGCTTTCTGCAAATGATTTCGAAGAAGGGGAAGATGTGGCCATTGGGGAAAAGAAATCCATACGCATGGGTGGGGAGTAGGGAAGGAAGGTGATTTAGAAATGACATGACCAAATGGAAGGAAGGGGACATGAGTCAGGCTGTGCCTGACAATGGGAGAGACGGAGAGACTGGATATGAGGTATTAGACACCTGCATGGACATTCAGACACCCAAGTGGCTGAAGGAATAAGAAAGGACTTATGAAATCAGGCTGAAAGAATCCCAGCATCCTGCCTGGGACAGAGGCAGAGGCAGGGGACAACGTATGAGGATAGGGCAACTGTTACATACACATGAGTACAGACACATACATTTGTGTATATATGTGCATATATGTATATATATGTACGTATACATGTGTATATATACATATATATGTGTATATATATGTATGCATACACTCTCACAGCCTTCAGTAATGTTCAGGGCTTGGAGAGCCAAATATGGGAGCCACTTATTTTATAATCTTCCATGAATTTCTCCTCCAGCAGCACCAGCCTCCACCTGGAATGAAGAAAGAAATAGAACCACAAAGCTAGTCGAGATAAGAGCACTAAGCCTTGCTTGCCTTCAGTTTACCCTGACCTCAACCCCACTCCATAGCCTGGGTACAGAAGAGAGAAGGCTGGATGCACTGAATTTCTTTTATATCTGCTATAAAATGGGTCTGCACAGGAGTGACAAAGCCTGTGAGCAAATGCAAAGAAACCTTCCTATTCTTCCTAATACCTGAAAGCTGTAGTACTTGGACCCACATCTAAGTATCAGTAGCTGCATGTAGGTGGTAGCCATAGGACTCCATCTCCACGCTTTCCAGAATACGATAGTGGGAATCAGAAGAAAAGTGAGGTATGGGTTATAAAAGCTCTGTATTTAATGGAATATATTTGATTTTTTAGACATAAGGGAGTTACAGTGTTTTTAGCAGTAACTGCTTTGGGATAGTTTTGTCCATATCTCTACTGCTGTAGAAAGCTTCCTAGCAACAAAACCTGTTCAGTTCATGCCAGGTAATTTAGCTGGTAAGAAAAGCCAGGAGGAAAGCAGAGAAAGAAGGATGGGGAAAGAGAATGAAGTGTTAAACTGGGGAAGGTCACCTCCCTCACAGCTGCAGCAACAGGAGGTCCTCCTGGGACCAGCAGAGCGAGCTGCGTTGCTCGCGTGGAGTTCATGGTCTCCCAAAGGAGCCCTGGGGGGCAAGTGTCATAGAGAGGATCTCTGTGGAGATGCAATGACTGTATGTTGCTTTGAGTTTGTATAAACTTCATCATGGCTTGGTCCATAGGTTGCTCCTGCAATAACATGACAGGCGTGAGCAGCATTCTGGGGGCTGACAGGATCTGGGGGGAGCCCATGGCACAATTGTTTCAGGCATGGATGGGGCTGGAGAACCTTTAATGGCACAGAGGCTTCATCAGCCTCCACCAGCCTTCTGAGAAGGCCCTCTCATCAGAAAGCATGCCTCTAGGTCCCTGTCACTTGCGTTGCACCATCCTGCTGGTTCTCCTCTCTCCCAGAGCTGTAGTCATTTAAAACAGTATTTATCCCTGTTTTCCTTTAAACAGGTCATGTCCCTCTGGCTGTCTTCTCTTCTGCATTCAAAAAGGACAACTGTGAACAACTCCTGTCCACAGGTCAGTCTACTGCTGCGCAAAGTGACTCTCTAATGACTCAAGTGTTACCTTGAGGTGAAGACAGTACCTACAGGTCACCATCATCCCCACCAAATGTCATCTGAAATCAGCAGTTGTTTAGTCTGAGAGACTTTAGTGCACTCAGCTACAAGAGGCTCCTTGCTCCCGCCACAGAGCAGTTCATGTCTCACCAAGTTCACTTCTGAATGGCCCATTCAGAAAAAAAAGGGGAGAATAAAAGAGAAGCAGCTTTGACTTTCTGAGGAATTCCATGTTTAACAAAGCATTTCTCAGCAGGTTAATGGCTGCAACTATTAGTATAAAGAAGTCTTAGCAGCTTGTGAAGTAATTATAAGAATCAGGCACTAATCCTTAGGAAACAATAATCAGAAATTTAATAATTAGGCAATAATTAGAAATTTAAAGTTTACTGCTAAACAGATTTCTGAGTTACGTTACTCTAAGTGCTAGTGTTTGATAATGTATGATGTTTTTAAAACTATTGCTACTAAAAGGAAAAGAGAAACTGTCATTTTCTTTTTAACTACATCTTATCTACATGCTACACTTGGGCCACAGTCCTTTACTCTTGGTGATACTTACTCCCTCTGGTGATACTTACATCCATATAAGGTTGCTGTATGGCTGTGCTACGCAAAGTGGAGTAAATAATGCTGGCATAAGATGTCCTTGTATTATTAAAATGTCTTGGTTAAATTTGGTTCCTGCCTGTCTGAAATCTTGGCCATTCAGCAGGCAGGCAGTTAGACTGACAGCTAGAGAAAAGAGATAAGATTAGTAATGTATATAACTATCTTGTCTCTAAATTGGAGAGACATCAATTTGATGGATGGACCACTCGGTGGATAAAGAACTGGTTGGATGGCCGCACACAAAGGGCTGTGGTCAATGGCTCAATGTCCGGCTGGAGACCAGTAACGAGTGGTGTCCCTCAGGGATGGGTGTTGGGACCGGTCTTGTTTAACATCTTTGTCGCTGACATGGACAGTGAGATTGAGTGCGCCCTCAGCAAGTTTGCCGATGACACCAAGCTGTGTGGTTCAGTTGATACCCTGGAGGGAAGGAATGCCATCCAGAGGGACCTTGACACACTTGTGAGGTGGGCTGATGCCAACCTGATGAAGTTTAACCATGACAAGTGCAAGGTCCTACACCTGGGTTGGAGCAATCCCAGGCACAGCTACAGGTTGGGCAGAGAAGAGATTCAGAGCAGCCCTGTGGAGAAGGACTTGGGGGTGTTGGTTGATGAGAAAATGAACATGGGCCGGCTTCAGTGTGTGCTTGCAGCCCAGAAAGCCAACTGTATCCTGGGCTGCATCAAAAGGAGCGTGACCAGCAGGTCGAAGGAGGTGATCCTGCCCCTCTACTCTGCTCTCGTGAGACCTCACCTGGAGCATTGTGTGCAGTTCTGGTGTCCTCAACATAAAAAGGACATGGAACTGTTGGAACAAGTCCAGAGGAGGCCACAAGGATGATCAGGGGACTGGAGCACCTCCTGTATGAAGACAGGCTGAGGAAGTTGGGGCTGTTCAGCCTGGAGAAGAGAAGGCTGCGTGGAGACCTCATAGCAGCCTTCCAGTGTCTGAAGGGGGCCTATAGGGATGCTGGGGATGGACTCTTCATTAGGGACTGTAGTGATAGGACAAGGGGTAATGGGTTAAAACTTAATCAGGGGAAGTTTAGATTGGATATAGGGAAGAAATTCTTTACTGTGAGGGTGGTGAGGCACTGGAATGGGTTGGCCAGGGAGGTTGTGAATGCTCCATCCCTGGTGCTGTTCAAGGCCAGGTTGAACAGAACCTTGGGTGACATGGTTTAGTGTGAGGTGTCCCTGCTCATGGCAGGGGGGTTGGAACTTGATGATCTTAAGGTCCTTTCCAACCCCAACTATTCTATGATTCTATGATTCTATATCCACATGAGCAATGAGCTCAGGGAAAGCATTAAGGTGAAAAGAGCACATCTGGCCACATGTAAATGTGTGTGAACCCGTGCACAAATCTTCTACTACTGTAAGTTTACAGTGGTCTTGGTTGTGTCATTCATAATAAATTGTTTTTTTTCTATATGCTTGTCCAGGGAATAGCGGAATATCACCAAGTCAAGATTTTTCTGCTTCAAGATTTGTGGTGAGGCTCCTTGCTACATATTCCCACTGCCTTCAAGGAAGTTAAATGAGATCGTTCATACATCATCACTAAACAAAGAGTCATCTCCTGTGCACAAATCCGCATGAATTCCCATTCCACAAATGGTTTCAATAAGGCAGATTCTGCAGTAACGTAAATTGCTGTCAGACGATGCTGGGAGGACATGGCCAAGACTTGAGCATCTCCCCAGGACCTGTAAAACATTCAGCACCATTTGTTACAGCGGGGACGATGTATCTGAATAAAACGACAGGCATTTTATCAGGCTGGGAGAATAAAATCACTTCAGGAACCAGGGTTTGTGCTGCCTGATTAGAATGAATTAAATAATGGTTTGTAAAAGCGTTCTCAGGCAGGTTATGAGTGAAAGTCACAGGGTGTTTGTGCAGCCAAGGGAGAATGTCTTTCTCCAGCCAAGAAAACAAGTGAGGTAGGTCAGTCTAAGCCAAGACTTCCCTTTTCCCAGAGGAAAGATCTGACTTTTAAGGAAAGATTATGTCAAAGAGAAAGTTTCCTAAGAGCACATAGCTCCAGCAGCACGAGGTGACTCATTTTAGCTTGATATAATCACAGTACCTTCATGCCAGGGGTGGCTGCAAATCCTTATCCGTGGCACTTACAGGCCTGCTGTTTCCTCACCGGCTCTGGATAGGCTCTGTTGCCAAGAGCAAAGGGCACTGATTTCCAGGGGGTTAGGCAGGTTAGAGGTTGTTGTTATAACCTGATCTGATGGGGAGGTGAGGTTGCAGCTGCTCTGGCTTCCCCATTCCCTACACAGCCGGGTGCTCATCCTGATGGATGTACCGTTTGGAACAGGGTTTATGTGGCCTGGGGGAGACCTGCAGGTGTGTGCTGGGATCAGCAAAGGGTGATAGAGCCCTTTGCTGGGCTTCTTATGGGTCAGACACATCAGGAGAATAACTCCACTGATCACAAAGAAACAAGTTAATGCTCCTCCCTGCTACTTCGACTGCCTTGTGAAGGCTCAAGCTCGTGGTTTACTAGTCAGACTTTCACTCAGTTTTAGGAAATCAGCAAAACCAAGTAAATCCAGAGGTGTCTTGTTGTGAATATAAGGACAGAAAAGCCATAGTCCTGATTCAGGTTCCCTGATTCAGCTAAATTTGACATGTGAAGTTCAAGGAAACCCATAGGAAGTGCTGGGCTCCTCAGCTGTGATAGATGGCATCACTTTCATCTGTACGGTCACCCCTCCAACCTGTGCTTTCTGCAAGATGTCCTAAAGCAGCAATATTATAATTATTATGTTATTTTTCTTGCCTATGAGCCCAGCCAGTGACTTGAGTTTGCTCACTGCATGGGCTAGCAGGAAAAGGAGTCCCTTATGTGTGCCCACCCAGGTGGGTGAATGCAATAATCCACAAATAGGAGAAACTGTAGCATCTCTTGAGGGGAGACACTGAATGCAGATGACACCATTCCTCACCCAGAGGGTTATTTTATGGACAGCTCTACAGGAAGACACCAAATCTGGGTTTTCAGTATGATTCACTCCTTCTCTGGGCAGGAAAAGCTGGTTATTGTGTCTGTGCCAGATGTTTGCTACCAGTGAACTCCACTGGGAATTTATGGGATGAAATAAAAGATCAAAAGCCATTCAAAACACAGACAGGTGATTCCCTTTAAGCATCTGGCCTCAAGCACTCACAAAGCCTGGCAGAGGTTAAGTGGCCCCTGACCGTTTGGAAAACCATATAAAGAGGAACATAAAGTGTCTTTACTTGCAACTAACTTCACTGCACATGAGATATAAATTAAGCAGATGAATGTTATTAGAGAGGCACTCTCATGAGTGCTGCATCCCTCTAACAGAATTAGCAGGAAGGCTTCAAATACATGATCAAAACATCATTTTAATTATGGGGCAGAAAGGTAATTGTCTGGGAGAGGCTCATGTCAGGGTGCAGCATGTGGTCGTGCATCTGCTGTGATGCAGCCGTGCCTCTGCTGTGATGCTGCGTGCCCTGGGGAGCCCACTGTGTATCCCAAACACTCCTCAGGGTGGGACCAGAGCTGTGGTTCTTGCCCACACACTCCCTGTGCCAGTTCCCACTGGGGCATTGTTGTCCCAGAGCCTTTTGTCTCCAAAAGATGCCTCTGTGAGCAGTTGGAGTCCCCACAGCGAGGCAGAGGAAGAGGTCAGAGGGGCTGGGGGGGAAATAGGAACTCTTTCCCTCTAATGACAATGGGGATTGATGCATGTTTTGGATGGGAGGGACACACCATGCAGCTCTCACACTGCAAGTGCTGAGAGAAGCCGAGTCACGGGCTGGAAACCTCCAAGGAATGTCCTGGAGAGCAGATTTCACCCTAAAATGAAAGGCATGAAGTGTTAGTCTGTGGATTCACATAGATTTTACAGCAAATCTGCAGCCTTTTGCCATGCTCTGCACAGCAGAGTGATTGAATTCCTGATGGGAGCAAGACTGCACTCAGGGACCCCCCCTAAAAAAAAGCATAGCTGTGCTCTGGGGGCTCTGAAGAAGCATGTGGCACATGGTATTTTGCTTGGACCAGGGTAAGGCACAAGTCAGAGCCAGGAACCATGAAGTTGTGTCAGCACAGGCACTAATAAAACCATCCAAAAGGCACGTGCCATTAGCAAATTCATAATTTCACATATGGCACTGACACAGGGGTTGTTTGGTGGCTGATTCCCTGCACTGACCCACAAAGACTTGGCCAGGGCCAAGCAGTTTTGTTTTGGGTCTGCATTGCTATGAGCCTGAAATCTGCCTGCCCTGAGCAGAGATGTTTTCTCATAAGAAAAGTGTCTTGCCTACATCCAGAAATAGCAGCTTAAAAGACAAAGTGCCTGTCAGTGGCACTGGCAAACACTGAACAAGGCAGATGAAGGGCCAGATCTATATCAGCATTGTGCTTGCGTATGATTTCCTTTAGGAAACCTTTAACCTCCACATCCCACGTACTATTAGAATTGAACACCCTCACTTTGCCACTGCTGCTCTGAGGCAATGAGTACCTTGGCAAGGACACTGAGTGATTTCCCAGGTCCAACTACAAAGCAGATGTCTAAAGAGCTCTTAAAATCTACGGCTCCTTACGTCAGCTCTGAGGACGTCCAGAATAGCTGGTGATGTGCACCTTCTACCACAGCACAGACTCAGCACTCTGCACTGGGAGAGACCTGGCAGGGTCCTGGCAGGGCAGGGAGCATCACTGCAGCTCACCAGCCATACCAGAACATTGGGTCTTGCAGCCGGTAATGTAGCTTCAGAATTTCTTAGAAGAGATCCAAGGATTTTGGAGCTTGAGGTTCCCACTTGCTGTATCATCCCATTGCTCTCAAAGTGTTTGAATTGAGAAGGCAGATTGTTTTTCTTGTCTTTTCTTATCCAAGAAGCAGGGTTAAACAAGCAATAGAAAATCTCACTTGCCTTTGACCTCTTGATAAGGTCTTATCTAAAGCTGGCTCAAGATAACAGTATTTTGAGCTGTTGCAGACTGGGCTTATCTGGGAGTGTTCTCTTTTATGTTCTTCAGCAGAGTGTCTGGAAGCCAGCACATGTGTTTCCATCATCTACCTGGTCTGGAGGGAACATGCAGGCTCTCTCTTATCCAACAGCTCTGCTACGAGGGTTGGATCTCATTCATCACCGACTCCTGGTGCCCAGATGGAGCTCATGCTATGGCTTTCATCCTATGATGTTTCTCCCTAGGCATTGTTTTGAATCCTCACTTGGCTGGGGCATTAAATATAATTAGATGTAATTTCAAAATCAGGAATCAAGAGATGCAAAACTTGCATTGCAAAGCAAAAACTTCCTTCAAGGAAGTTCTGAAAACTGCTTGCTGACATCCACGTGTGCCCTGGAAGAGCCAAGAATATGCCCTCCCCAAAAGGCCTTTGGGTGGGCCGGCAGCTTTTGCAAGCTTTGGTGTAGCAGGAAACAAAAGAGACCTCAGGTAGTGTCCTTTTTTGATGTATGTACCCCCAGTTAAGCGAAAGCATCTTATACCTTATATCTTGGCCAATTTCATTCCACATCTCAGCAAGGGACTCCTTCTAGCAGCCAGACACAGGTTAATTTCTTGAAGGTGCTGGAAGAAGTATAACAGAAGGGTTTTTTCCTCCCCTTGTGTCTCTGTGTGAGGTCCTGAACAGCAAGGTTTGGTATTCCAGCTGAATTCCTTCTGAATCGTTCAGCAAGCTGGGAGAGACGCATGGAGAGCTTCCACCTTTTATCTCAGCACAAAACTTTCCAACTGAATAGAGTCTTTTTAATGGGAAAATTATTGTCCTCCAGTGAGCCAGTCATTTTTAGGATGACAGTAACTTGCATTTTGCCACAGATGTTGCTTATTACGATGTTTCCCATTCCTGACATAAAGGGGAAACACAAAGGTACTTGGGAAGCGCTGTGCCTCAGCCGCAGTCAATTGATGCTTTGCATTCACTGCCACGTTCGGTTCGCCTCCACACTGCTCTTGTGCAGCTGCAGTAAACCCTTTGGGCAGAGAAATGAGAGCAGAGAAGGATGTTTATATTCTGGGAGAAGAACAGCATGAGGAATGGTGACAGCTCTATCACAAAGTCAAGGTTTTGAATATTGCAGGGACACTTCAGCACAAGGCATCCCTACTCCTGCAGCAAAACAATCTGCACATGGTTAGCTAAGCACAAAGCTCTCTAAACAGCCTGTTAGCACCAGGCAGAGATTAAAAGCAGTGCTAAAGCCCAGATTGTATCACAGACCCGGGTTCCATCATTACTTAGTGCTGAATGTGGCCACAAAAGGTAGTCACATCTCTAACTCTCATGACAGCACACTCCCAGCTCTGCATGGCACAGCTTTTTGTCATTCACCCTGTGAATTTTATATGCTGCAAAATGTTTGTTTCGTTTTTCATTCAATGTTCTAGTTAAATACTGTATATTTTTTAACTATATCTATTATATGAAGGTAAATTATAGAGATTTCTATATAATTAGATATATGTCTGCATAACTATATATGTTTACATATACACCAACTTTAATCTCCAGCATCTTTCTTGTTTATTGATGCCCACTTAGCCTGCCCCCTCAAAAAGTAATGGGGAAACATCATAGAATCATAGAATAGTTAGGGTTGGAAAGGGCCTTAAGAACATCTAGTTCCAACCTGCCTGCCATGTCACCCAAGGCTCTGTCCAACATGTCCAGGGATGGAGCATTCATAACTTCCCTGGGCAACCCATTCATCTAATCTCTCTCCTTGGTACAATATAGCTCTTCCTAATACATGCTACTTAATACCCGCAGAGTGTGTAC